AAAAACAAAAAACCCCCCAAAAAAAAAAAAAAAAAAGAAAAGAAATCATTTAAAGTATTTAAAGTGTTCAGTTTGCTAGTGAAAATTAAATTACTAGTCTGTTAGAATTTTTAGTTTGTAAAAGATCAGTGATAAAAGATTAAAAGTGGTAAAATGATTATTTCTCCTAAGGAAAGTTTTATCTTTCCAAGGTTTGAAATATTGCCCTGTGAAGAGTTTTTCATTCCTTTAAAAAATTATCAAATAATGATTTTACATATTTTTGGATGGTTGTATATTATGTCAAAAATATATTTTTGGGAACCAGCAGTTAGCGTAATGGCTATGTCGCTGGACTCCCAAGTAGTCGACTGCAGTTCGTGCCCTGGACCCGGTGGCTTAAAACTCACGCTGGGCGCGTGTGCGTGCGTGCCCAAGATCCAGAGAGGAGAATGGAGGAGAAGGGATTGCGGTGTGACCATCCCCCCGGGGGGGTGATTTCTCGCTTTCTGTCTCTATGTCTCTCTCTGTCTGTCTGGCGAGCACACGCGCCCTACAGTGAAAATCTCTCCAAAAAAAAAACCAAAAAAACAAAACAAAACAAAACAAAACAAAAAATTTCTAAGAAGTTTTTATCAACACATTTTACAAGTTTTAGCAATAATTAAAAATAGCATATTTGAAATTTCCAACTGAACCTTCAGTCTTTTGAGATATGACTTTATTTACCATTGATCTAATGTATGGAAGAAATATTTTTAAAGGCTAATCAAATGGCTCAGGGGACATTTTGGGCTTCCTGGAATTCTTAAAACCTCAAGTCTAAAGATATACATTTTTTGGGATCAGCAGTTAGAGTAATGGCTATGTCACTGGACTCCCACGTAGTCGACTGCGGTTCGTGTCCCGGACCCAGTGGCTTAAAACTCACGCCAGGCACGTGTGCATGCGTGCCCAGGATCCCAAGAGGAGAATGGAGGAGAAGGGACTGCGGCGTGGCCATCCCCCCTTGGGGGGTGGTGATTTCTCGCTTTCTGTCTCTGTCTCTGTCTGTCTGGCAAGTGCACGTGCCCTATAGCAAAGACCTCTAAAAAAAAAGATTTAAGTTTTTTATACGTTTTTCTAAATTTAAATAACTTTATAAAATATTAAAGTTTGAGGCAACATACGTTTTTGGAATTGTATATGTTTTTACATTAGTACTTGGAATTGCTTAAGAAGTAACTTAAAAGTAATGTCTTGATAAAATGTTTTTATTCCAAAAGTATGCTTATAAAAAAGGAATAATTTCTGTTCAACTACGTCTTCTTAACTTTTGTCTGGGAAGCCTCTGGGCTGCCAATTTACATACTAGCTTTACATGAGTATAGGGCAAAGGTATTCAGAGATTATCCAAACATACATTTGATTATGTAAAATCATAAAACTCTTTTTTGTTTAAAAGAAAATACAGTTTAAAATAAATTAAGTTATAGCTATTATATAAACAATTTAAAAGTTGAATTAAAAGACAAGCTGAATTTTCTCACCCATCTTCTAGCTGGTAATGAATATGTTTCAATAATAGGAAAGTATCCTTCTTCTTATTTATTTTATCATAGAATATTAATACGGTCTTGTGATGTGTAAGTGTTAGTACCTAAAACTTTAATGTATTTGTTTTAACATTTGCAAGTTAGTTTTTTCTCATATGTCTAAGCAAAACAACTAAAACTTGAAAGTAAACATAACTTTATAAATGTAATATAGAGTCAAAATAGCTCTCGAAAGGAAATATGTTATCTGGTTTGGCTGAAATAATTTATGATGTATGTTGTAGCTAGTCAGTTGTAGTGTTTTCTCTCAAGGAATATGGGAATTTATGTATAATATAGACAACCAACTTCCCAAAGCATTTGAAAGCATAAAACTGAAATCAATGGAAAGGAAAGTTAGAGACAAATGTTTTACTTTTCTGTGAATTTTGATACTATCATTTTTTAGGGCCACTGACTGTGACACAATAATCCGTATATTCTGTATATTTCCATGACTTGACATTAAGTAGTCCCAGGAGTTCTTTCAGAACTTAATGTGTAGAAATAAATCCATGGCAATTACACAGTTACTATGAAAGAAACCTAAGTGTATTTATAAACATCTAATGCTTGTAAAGTGTTTACAGAGAATATCCTCAGTCAAAATTATAGCACTAACATTTGAAAGGAATGTCATACTTCTTCCCTTTCTCTAAACTCACAAGTCAAGTCATGGGTCCATGACCCCAAATTGTATCTCTCTCTCTGTACCTACGTCTATGTCTATATCTAGATCTCTCTCTCTGTCTCTATTTCTATCTCTCCCCTCACACATATACAAGCTGAGTACAAACTGTCCCACTCATGACTCAGAAGTCCAGGAAGCAGTCATATTTTCATGTATATCTTCTAGCAAAGACCCTATAAATTTGGTAGGAACTCTAATTACATCAGAAGGTCTCTGGATGCCAGCTAGGAGGAATAGGAGACTTTAGAATGGTGCAGATGGGCTGCCAGAGTCTTTTCTGCCCTGCCACTAAGGGCAGATGAAAGAATTGTATTTTGCATGGTGCTGTGGTTGATGAAGTGGCCTAAAGGAGTCCCAATGGTTATTACTGCCGGGTATGCTTGTTACTCCCAGATCCCCTTAAATGAACCTCAGAGGACTGCATACCATAGGAGTGTACCTTTTTCTAGTGTCTTCATATTCAATAAAGGGAAGAAACTAATAGAAGTAAAGATCTTTAAATAAACACTTTACCCGATATTTGATCCATTGGTGTTTATTAGGAAATTTAATTTACCACCATTTGATCATAAGCAAAATTGATTCTGTCTAAGATATCAATGAAAAGATGCACCACCACATTATGTACCTCTAAGAAGGAAAAACAGAAAATGACTCATTGTTAGTTGTAAGACATGCTCTGATTTCAGAGATTTTAATTGAAAATATACATTTACACTCTGTCAAATGGAAATATTTTAGTATTTATTAATTGATTGGGTGATATGGCACTGAAAACACTTTCTTTGGATTTTATTCTGGATTGGTTTATTATAGGTTAATTGCTTGACTGTTTTCACAACAAATGTTCTCTGAGCAGTTCATTTCAGTCTTGCATCCTTGTTAATTAGTGTTTCTGCTTTGATCGGGGGAGAGCTATTTTATGTTGGCTGTCACAAGGTTCAGAATGAGTTTCCAAACACAGTTGCAGTCACCGATTCTCTCTGTTTCAGTGCAGTTGATTTCTCCTCTGAAGTCCTTGTGGCAATTCCTTTATTGGCATACATTTCAAATCCTTTTTGGAAAGCACAATCTTTCTAAAGCTTCGGTGACGGTTGTGCTTTCGTGCAAAGTAGTAGATTCTCTAAGAAAAATGGATGCTCTACTTCTAATTGCAGTGAACATTGACTTCCTTGTTTTTGTCTGCAGCGATGATGTCAGGTCAGCCAACATTATTGCTGAAGAAAATGATGTCGCATGCCTGGTGATAGATCGAGAGTAAGTATGCCCATGTTTCAGAGAAGCAGGCTACTGCCGCCCATTTGTAGACTTGGCCTTCTCTGACTCTGAGGGTGGATCTGTGTTCTCATTCATCAGCACTGGGAAATGCTAGCCAATCCTTCGCTACATTCTATTAAAATTCATGGGAAGGAACTGGGCCTTCTGATCTGAATCTGTCTGTGGCAGTGGCAGATGCTGGCAGGCTAAATATTTTGTGTGCAGTTTGTATATAAATATCAGCAATAGACTGATTTAAATTCTGCATCTTCCAGAGAAATAAGCTTATTAGTGCTCTTATGGACTTTTTGCACTTAACATAGAGAACAATTTCATAATTTATTTTTAAAATGCCTTCGTTGTAAAAAAAAGTTTTGAACAAAACCTCTCAGATAATGTATAAAATATTCATTAACTCTATATGTGTATACCCAGAGTATTTTTAATTTTACATTTTTAGTAGCTTATAAGTACTATCAACATTTATCTCTTAATATCTAAGGTTATTTTTCAAAATAAGAGTCATTTATACCCTTCACTTACTTTAAATCAGATTTGGATTGCTTGTTAATCAGTTAATTTGTTGGCTTCCTACTAGATACAATAAAGGAAATTCAAATATACTAAAGTTGCCCAAAAGAGTAGCAACATAGTCAATAAAATAGGGCATATTCATAAAGAAGTAACAAAAAAATAATAAATGGCAAGAGGTATCATCAGAAAGTATATAGTTGCTGAATACATTTATTCAACATAGAATCATAAACATGTAGGGACCAGCAGTTGGCATAATGGTTATGTTGCTGGACTCCCATGTAGTCGATCATGGTTCAACTCCTGGACCCGGTGGCTTAAACTCACACTGTGTGTGTGTGTGTGTGTGTGTGCGTGCCCAAGATCTTGAGAGGAGAATGGAGGAGAAGGGACTGTGGCTTGGCCATACTCTGTGGGGGGTGATTTCTCACTTTTTGTCTCTCTCTGTCTTTCTGGTGAGCACATGTGCCCTATAGCAAAAACCTCTCAAAAAAAAAAATCATAAACATGTAGAACTGGAAAAGACTTTAGAGCATTTTAAAAAATCTTTTTTATTATAAAAACTTTTAAGCATTATAAAATAGAATAATATCATGAACTCCATAATGTGAGTTTAACGACAATCAATCTATGCTTAACCTATGCTCCTTTATAACTCTCCGTCATCTCACACCATTTTTAAGAATATTCCAAACCAAAATTCCAAATATGATTATGTCATCTAAATGTTAGTTGCATGTCTAAAGATAAGCAGTATTTGCAATGCACAGTCTGGTTATGTTGCTGGACTCCCATGTAGTCGATCATGGTTCAACTCCTGGACCCGGTGGCTTAAACTCACACTGTGTGTGTGTGTGTGTGTGCGTGCCCAAGATCTTGAGAGGAGAATGGAGGAGAAGGGACTGTGGCTTGGCCATACTCTGTGGGGGGTGATTTCTCACTTTTTGTCTCTCTCTGTCTTTCTGGTGAGCACATGTGCCCTATAGCAAAAACCTCTCAAAAAAAAAAATCATAAACATGTAGAACTGGAAAAGACTTTAGAGCATTTTAAAAAATCTTTTTTATTATAAAAACTTTTAAGCATTATAAAATAGAATAATATCATGAACTCCATAATGTGAGTTTAACGACAATCAATCTATGCTTAACCTATGCTCCTTTATAACTCTCCGTCATCTCACACCATTTTTAAGAATATTCCAAACCAAAATTCCAAATATGATTATGTCATCTAAATGTTAGTTGCATGTCTAAAGATAAGCAGTATTTGCAATGCACAGTCACAATGATGTTAACATACCTAAAACATTAACCGTGATTCTTCGTATTAGAGTTACTCTCTTTTAGATATGAAAAGTGAGTCCTTGATAGGTTAAAGAAGTGCCTGAACAGTCCCGTCTGTGATGAAGCAAGGGCTATTGCCCACGTTTCCTGACTCAATTGAACATTCTTTCTGCTGTGTCATTGGCTCACTTTAGGAAGATAAACAATCATTATGCAGGGAACTAATTAAGATTTTTTTAAGTGTAGAAATAGAGCCTAAAACAATTAGTAGGATTTTTCTAGGCAAAGAGGAAGTGTACAAGTTACCTCAAGGAAAAATTCAAAAGCAAAGGCATAGAATGAGCAAAGTGAAAAGTGTGTTCTGAGAAAGGTACTCTTTGAATGCCAGCTCTCAGCTAGAAAATACATTGGTACAGTACAGCCTCAGTATTGCATAATGTTGCATCTGAGTTCCTCAAAAACAGGTACAGGCACTGAAGAGTATTAACTGTCTAGTCAAATTTTATCAATTGCTCCAAATTGTTTGAACTGAAATATGAAGAAAAAAATTATTTCTTTTTCCTTTATCATAATCATACACACTAAATATTTATGTAATACTGTCTGTATTCACAGTCCATGAAAAGGATGCACTAACCTTTTTGAGAGTTTACAAATTATTGGAAAGTTTATCATTTTAGAGTGTTTTATGTAGACATACATATAGTTGAGAGTCTATATTTATTTTTAACTCTGGAAGTATTCTAGTTTGATTGATAAATTATATGATCATTCTAGCTATGACTTACAGACTAGATTATGACCCCACAATAATACTTCCATAGCACCCTAGATGAAGGTACTTTGGAATGTTTGTGGAAAAAGAGACTTAAAGTGTGTGTGTGTGCTTTGGTGCAATTAAAAAAAAAATCACACATAGTATTTTCATAATCTGCATTTTTCATCCATTTTTAAAAGATCCCTCCTATAGTCTTATCATATCGTTGTTCACACCATGACTGCTTTTGTTCCACTTCTGTCTCTGCACCCTTCTGTAAGCTTCATAAATACAGAAACATGTAACTTGTTCATTGCTGCTAAAGTGCCAGTGTGACGTAGCCCTTAGCATCTGGAAAGTGCTCACCAGTTGGTAGCTGAATAAAGGGCACCACCCTTGCAGTAAAATACAGTAACTGAAAGCCATGTGGGAGTCCAGTGCCTTAACTGCTGGACCCCCACAATAATACATTATTGAGTGGTCCTGGTTTATTAGTTCTATGTATTTTGAGGTACATTTTTGTTCTTTTCATTCTACTATATACCGTGCTTAAAATGTTACTGAGGTGGTTAAAACATGGCTGCTACTTTCAAGAAGGATACAGTTTGGTAATAGGGAAGAGAAGTACCTGAATGGACTGTTGGATGTGGAAGTAGAGAGGCATTGGCAGGATAATCAAGAAAATTATCCTTTCCCTGGTGAGGAAGGGGATGATTCTTCCTCAAGGGCAGTGGAATAAGAATTCTAGACAATGGGCTGTGATGGGGAGATAGATCGGACACACAGCAAACCTGTGGTCTGTGAGGGGTGAGAGAAGTCAACAGAAGATGTTAAATGAACCACAGAGAACTGAGAACTACTCAGTAAAGATAAAATATATGGATGTAATTATGACAGAATGTCAAATGGGGAGAATTGTCAAGAGACAAAGAAGAGGTAAATCTTATCTTTGATTTTTAAAACAAATTACTTAATTTAATTAAACATTAGAAGAATCTATAATCCCTATAGCCCTTTGGCTCAGGAAATAGGTCCTGTAACTATTTCTACTGTCCTGTTATTTCTTTTCTTTTCTTTTTTTCTTTTTCTTTTTCTTTTGTTTTCTTTTATTTGTTTTCTTTTCTTTTCTTTTCTTTTCTTTTCCTTATGTATCTATTTATTCATTGTGATTTTTTCAAGTTACTGGGTCTGGGACTTAAAGCACCATTGGCCATGTGAGAATCCAATGCCTTAATGACCACACCATCTATTAGTCCTCCACTGCCTTCTAAAAACTAAGTAAAACTAAACTAAACTAAGCTAAAATTGTTGTCAAGTTAGAACCACCAGGCAGAAAACCATAGCAAATGTTTTCTCTTCTCATTGATAGCCCTTTTTGCTTTCATAAGCTTAAAAGATCAATTATATAGCTTCAAATGACTATTCTACATATTACAGCAACTTCAATATTCCATAAGTTATTGAAAAACGATTTACAAAGGCATGAATAATGATTCAAAGAGCCTTCTATGAGCTTAAGAAGAATGTCAAGTTGCCCTGGTAACAATCAGTGCAGAGTATTTTATTTATTTTATTTAGAACATTCAACCAAACTGTTGGGACATTTGAAGAACTCCAAAAATACCTTGAAGGCTATGTGGCAAACCTGAATCGTGATGATGAAAAGAGACATGCGAAGTAAGTGAACAAACATGTTCCTAAGCTGGGTGTGATCTCTAGCAGCTGAGAAAGAAAGGGACAGGGTGTATGATTTGTTTAGTGATAACTTCTAATTACCTTCACCAGAAAATTCTAGAAAGTTCTTAATTGCCCTTCCAGAAAGAAGACATCAAATACTGCTAGGATGGGGAATCTGTATACAGTGAGCTCCTTTAATTTAGGTGATGAGTGGGAATGTTAACTTTCTTCACAGGGGGTGTTAGCAAAGGGGTTCTTTACATTGTCTGATGACTTGGCTCAAAAGGACCTCCACATCCAATTATAGGTAAAGAGCAGGGTTATAGTGTGGATTTTTCAAACTGTGAGGGAGTTGTTCAGAGGTGTGTGTGTGTATGTGTGTGTGTGTGTGTAAGGGAAGGGACTGGGTAGAGCTCTAAATGTAGTAGAAGTGATTTAAAAAAAATATTTAATGGAAAGCTCTATTTAGTTAAGTGAAAATTATTTGAAAATTATTTGCTAAAACATTTTTTTCAGAGTAACTACTTGAGCATATGTTCTCCAGATGGTGCAATCAAATCTGTATAGTTAAAATTTCTAAAATACTGAAGTTTGAGTTAAATTAGAGCATTCAGTGAGTACCTAATAAGTTTTTTTGCAAGAAATACATCTCCAAGTTTTATGCTCAAAGCCCTTTGTAGTAACTACTGGAATATGTAACTCAGAGCAGTAAACCTTAATTAAAAGAGAAAAATGGGTATTCCAAACAACAATACTTAGACATATAGCAAGAAATGTATTTTTTTATGTTTTACCAAGTAATTATTCTGAGTAAAGCATGGAAAAATCTGAGAAAAGTGACAAAGGGAGGCAGAGATTTTCAGTGTGGCATTCTCCTGAATGCAAAGGAAATGGCTTTCAGTTTTATTCCTTTTTATTGAGTTCTTTTGGGAGCTATTTTAAAACAACGTTTTAAAGGCATATTTTAAATACTTCACAATCAATCAGTTTTATGTCATTGATTCAACTGTTGTCTATTGTGTGGGTATCAGATTTTGTTTGTATATTCCATAGTTTTTCTCCCCTACTGTGTCTGAACTGAATCCAGTCCTATAAAAGTTCCAATGGCCTGTGTGGCAACTATGGGCAGCAATTATGGCAGAAATGTACTGCGGTCAGGTTGGAATTTATGTCTGGAATGATGCTTGCTTGGCTAAGGGAACCTATGTGAAGTCTCCCCTCTCTTGAACAGGAGGTCCATGTCTAACTGGAAGCTGTCCAAAGCACTCTCTCTGGAGATGATTCAACTGAAGGAGAAGGTGGCCAGATTTTCCTCATCTTCCCCATTCCAGAACCTTGAGATTATCGCAACACTGGGCGTTGGTGGGTTCGGAAGAGTTGAGCTTGTAAGGGGTTTACGTTTCAAGCATCTGAGAGAAGCCTTTTGATGTTTTTGTTTGTTTGTTTTATATTCTAGCTAATCTTGGAGGAATATATGAATTGTTATTATTATCTTAAAAGTTACTTTGAGGTAAAATTAAGAAAGTAAATTTTTCACTTGGTAGATCATATAGTAGTTGTTTTGTGGCTAGTAAGTAGCTTCTATAATAGTTGGCTACTATTTCAAGCTTCTTATACCACAACCTTTGGTTAATTTTTTCTTGATGATCATTATTAGAAAATATACCAAGTAAGCATTCCTAAAGACTATAAAACATAAAAAAATGTATTTCCTAACAGCAAAAAAATGTGAGTATATATAAACTCACAACACATTAACTCTCTACGTGAAAGAAAAGAGTGTCTAGCAAGTGTGCTATAGAAATTAAATCTTTAACAGTTACCTCCCTTAAATAACTCCAGTACCATGTCTGTATTTGGTTTTCATTCATCTATTTTTGGGTTGCTCAAAACTTTTTATCAGAAAAAAAAATGAGAAGATGAATGCAAGGAGATGTTTGAAGAGCAGCCTTCTATGGTGTTGATTAGGACAGCTGGGAACTTACAGCCTGAATTCAGTTGTATCTTCCCCATTTTCACCTCTCTAAGCTTAATAATCAACTTCCAAGGAGTAACAGAGTGGTACTGTCAGATCAAGCATTCTGAGGAAACTGGAGAACAGAGATCCGTGACCTTTCTGGGTACAGATGGCTCTGAACCCTTAGCAATTACCAAGCCCTTCTTTACTCATCAGATTGTTAACGACTCACTGTACATTATCCTCCGGGAACTGGGCTGACACCTCCGTCTGCTAGATGGCCCTGGGCACGGGCAGATCTGAGATGTTGCCAAGAGACTCCCAGCCCATACTTCATCTGATGGGTCAGGGGCAATATGGTTCTTAGTAGAGCAAAGAATATTTGCAATGTTTCTGATGCCATATGGAGAGATTAGGGCACTATCCATCTGCAGTGGTAATCTTTTTTTTTTTTTTTTCTAACTAAAGAGTATGCCAAAAGAATTGAGAAAGAATGGACTGAGATCTGTTTTCCTCAATAATAATAAACGAAGCAGAAATTCCATCATGGGCAGCACTGAGGATGAATATGAACAAAATATAGGGTCAGCCATTTCTGCACAGTCTAGTTATGGGTCAACTCTAATCTACTTAGTTTTAAATCTATGAGGGAAAAATACCTATTTAAAAACTTAGGGCTAGCCTGTAGCCTTAAGATGGCTGGATCATACATGGTTGGCCCTGCTGTTTGAGTCATGGACTCAGTGATTTGAAAAACATGCTGGGCATGCACAGTGCCCAAAAATCTCCAAAGGAAGGTGACATGGAGGAGAAGGGATTATGACATGACTGTGCCCCATGGGGGGTGCTTTCTTACTTACCCTCTTTCTCTTTCTAGCAAGCACATGTACCCTCTGGTATTTCTCCATCCCTTTGGTGCTTTTCAAGCCACCAGGTCTGGAATTTGAAATGTGGGGTTGGCCATGTGTGATCTGGCTGTCATAACCACTGGACCATAGGCTGACCCTAAGGGAAAATTGTGGTTGTGTATTCAGAGCAGTGCTGTCCAATAGACCTTTTTGTACAGATGGAAATGTTTTCTTTCTGTGTGCTCCAATAGAGTGGCCACTAGCCAGTTGTGGGTGTTGAACTTTAGAAATATGGTTATTGTTGGGACCAGCAGTTAGCGTAATGGCTCTGTTGCTGGACTCCCACATAGTCGACCACGGTTTGAGTCCCAGACCTGGTGGCTTAAACTCACACCAGGCATGTGTGTGTGCGTGCCCAAGATCCTGAGAGGAGAAAGGAGGAGAAGGGATTGCGGTGAGGCCATCCCCCCCTGGGGGGTGATTTCTCACTTTCTGTCTCTCTGTCTCTCTCTGTCTGGCAAGCGCCCACGCCCTATAGCAAAAACCTCTCCAAAAAAAAAAAAAAAAGAAAGAAAAAGAAATATGGTTATTGCAACTGATGAACTAAATTTTTAATTTTATTAATTTAAATTAAAATAACTCATGTGATTAGTGGCTATCCTGTGGAGTATTATGAACATAGAACTGAACTGAATGTTTTTAAATATGTTTTCCTTTGACTATCAAATAAATGATAGTAAGAAATAATTTTTGGCAATTCCAGTCAAAATTTTATATGTTACACAATCACCACGGAATGGATTTTAAACATTAAATTAGATTTTTTTCTCATTTCAACATAAAAATTTTAGAACCATGTCCTAGATGTATGAACTGTTTTGGAAATTATGATGAAAGGGACGTGTATACATCTGAATGTAACTCAATTCTCAAAGGGATAAGTGGTTAAAAGAGCTTACATACTGTTCAAATATAAAATAGTTTTAACTCTCATTAATAAACATGTATTATGTGGCTATTACAAATCTTTCTAAGTATGTCAATTTTGAGGGGTCTTTCTACTTCTTACATAGGTTAAAGTAAAAAATGAGAACATTGCTTTTGCTATGAAGTGCATAAGGAAGAAGCACATTGTTGATACTAAGCAACAGGAACATGTCTACTCAGAAAAGAAGATCCTGGAAGAGTTGTGTTCTCCGTTCATTGTGAAGTAAGTGAGTATTTGGGCTTCTAGGGCTTAGAATTTTTAGGATATTTATCTGTGCATGTGTGTCTGTCTGCATGTTTTCCTTCAAGAGGACAGAAAGAAGAAGAGGAGGCCCCACTTGGAATTCTCTATCTCAGTCATAGCAATAGTATTCAACATTTAGGAAGTTTGAGATCTGGGGTCAGAATTTTTCCAGTTGTCTTTATTCTAGAGGGTATACTTTGCAAATGTGTGTGTAAATGGAAAATTACCACAGAATAATTTGTACTGATTTTTTTTTTTTTAAGTTTGGCATAAGGCATGTGTGCTCACCAGAGACAGAGGATGAGGGAAAGTGAGAAATCAACCTTCAGGGAGAATGGCCATGACAGAATCCCTTCTTGTCCATGCTTTTCTTAGGACTTTTGGCATACATGTACATGCAGCTGGCATGTTTCTTAAACAGCCAGGTCTGGGACCTGAACCATGAGGTCATCTATGTGGGATCCAGCCACCCTGATGTCCATGTCACCTACTGGCCTCAATTTGTACTGATTGTTTTATTAAGACTTAATCCAGAATTTAGAAGTAGTGAAACAGGAATTCATAACAAAATGAAACGAAACGAAACAAAACAAAACCCCTTCAGATTGTGTGCTGGTGTTGAATTTTTGCAACAAGTGGCACTTAGGCACACATAGGGAACATTCCCCTAGTCCCAGCAGTGCCTGTGTACCCAAAGATCCATCTCCTAAATGGCTCCTCTTTTTTCTGTAGCTGTTACCAGAGTTTGAAGGAGAAATGTAAACTAGTATAGGCCATAGCTCTCTACTTGTGAATTAATGGGTTAGTGGTATAAGCCAGTTTATATATTTATATATATCTTAATGCTCCAGGGTATAATTTTAGTGATTTCTGGGTGATATGAAAGTGTTCCTGTAATGAATAGAATTTATCCTTTTTGACTGAATATCTTGAGAGAATCTTCCTGCCATATTCCTAGACCCATCTTTCCCTGGCCCCTCTGATATTAAAAAAGAAATCTGAAAGCCAGACAATGCTAACAATAAAGAGTCATCCAATTATCTTTATATTACCTATTCTTCCCAGAATTCTCTTTTTAAATTAATAGTTCATTAACAAACTATGATGAGCGCAGCTCCAGGTCAAGAATTAGGTTGTATTCATTTGCGCATTTCCAGCTCTTTCCAGAGTTCCTGGCATATAGAAGGTCACTAATAATATTAAGAATAAAATATGAATGACAACATTTATTGTAAAATTAACATGAGCCAGTCAGTTTTCTAAGATGTGTGTATGTAGGGAGAGAGACAGAGAATCATCACTTTTATCTCACTGTTTTATTATGAGGATCAAATGACATATACAATCAATAAATATGTAATCATATATAATCAGTATATTATCAAGTATACAGTTTGTTCAGTGAGAAAGCCAAAGTCACATAGCTAATAAATGTCTGATGTAGTTTTAAGCCTAGGAGGCTTGGTTGGAGAGCCTACTTCTGAACCACCTTACCCGATTTCATCTGCTATCTGTACATGATATGACTGTTCTGCTCTATTCTGCATTAGCCTGGGTATGGCAGTGGGGAGAAAAGGGTCTGTCTTAATGATTAGGACCCAGAAGCTGCTTTCATCCAGTTGAGATATAGTGCTGTTCTTGGGTGCCACTTCAGGACTGCTACTCCCATCCCACAGCTCTCGGGAGTGTTGTCTGCTAAAGACTCTGGCTCAGTCCCTCTGTGGGCATTCCTCTTAGGGGAAGAGAACCACCTTGCCCAAGATCATAATCTTTCTCGGGTGATATTCTGTGACCAATGACCGCAACGTTCCTTGAAGCAGGGATTTTATGGCAATTTTATCATAGTCCAACTCTCTCTGCCAAATCTGCTTTCGTTCTCCCCCATGGATGCAGTCCCTAGTATGTTCTTCACTAAATATAGTGATTATAACTCTCTATTTCAGAGTCTATTTCCAGGGGAATCTGACATCAATTAACCAACCAAGGGACATAGACGTTGGTATGAATAATTGTTATGCGAGGCAGATCTTAAAGGTGACATATGCAGAAAGTGTGTCTCATTGAAGAAAGGGGAGGCTATATTTGGTAGGTGGGATAATGAGCTCCTTTATTGAGAAGGTGGCCTTGAAGCTAAGCCTTGATGAATGGATAAAACTGTTACAAGGAAACTAGGATGAAGAAGGTCAGTCTGTAGGTAGAGGGAGCACACTTTAAGTAAAGGGGTCAATGTGAGCAAGAGCAAGGCAGTAGGAAAGATCAAAGAGGGTTTGGCAAGAAGCCCAGTATAGCTGCAGGATATTTGTACTGAGATGAGGTCATTGTTCAAAATGTTATGGTGATAGCCTTCAGCAACTTTAAAGAGGTCTCCCACCTAGATTTAAAATAAATAATGATGACTATGTTTTTATCTGTCTTCACAGATTATATCGTACCTTCAAGGACAATAAATATGTATACATGCTTCTGGAGGCCTGCCTAGGTGGGGAGCTATGGAGTATATTAAGGGACAGGTAATGAAAACATGCTTTAAACAATAGCTTTTGTCTACTCACATCTGGTCTAGAAGATGCTATACTCAAGATCATTTAAAGAAGCATGAAGGAAATCATTAGAGAATGATGAGAAAATATTACTTGATGAAGTAGTGATAATGATATTATATTAGTGTCATATGCATCCTGTTAGGGATTCATCATCATCCTTATTTTAGGAATTACAGATTCTCAGTGTTAGGATGTGAACTCTTCCAAGTTGCATGACTAATGTGAGGCAGTCAGGGTATGGACTCAGATGTTTGTTTCTTCCTTCCTTCCTCCCCTCCTTTGTGCTACCGGGCACATGTGCTTGCCAGAGAGAAAGAGAAAGAGGGAAAGTGAAAAAGTAGTCCTCAGCAAAGATGACTACACTGCAATACAATCCCTTTTCCTTCATTCCTCTCTTGGAATTTGGGGTGCACATGCTCACATGCCTGGTGTGTTTTTAAGCCAAGGTGTCTGTGACTTAAACTGCTTAGTCAGCCAGGTGGGATCCATCTGCTTTCACCACCGCAACACCAGCTGACCCTAGATGGAGATATTTCTGACTCCATATCGCTAGTAGGGAAATAAAGAAGGGCAGAGGTGGAGAGTGGTTCGGCCTTCACTGAAAAGCAGAATAAAGATTGTATATTCCAAAAGTCATTGATTTTCATACAACCCAAATTGCAGGTATATGTTGGGTACTGCCTGTGTGCAAGGCTCCCTAGTGGGCAGTCTGGGGGTCTTTCAGACAACACTGATTTTTTTCTTTTTTAAAAAATTATTTTATTTAACTTTATTTATTTATTTTAATTTGACCAGAGAGGGACAGAATAAGAGAGAGAGAGAGAGAGAGAGAGAGAGAGAGAGAGAAAGAGAAAGAAAGCACACAGCTCTGGGAAGCAAGCTGCCATGTCTGGGACTCGAACCACAGTCTACCATGTGGGAGTCCAGCCGCCTTAACCACCATGCTAACTGTTGTGCTCTACATTAACTTTTTTCCAACCCAAAGAGTAAAAGTATAAATGCTTCCTACAATGAGTTTAATGTTTATTTGGGGAGACTATGTATGAAATTTAATTTTATTTCTTTGAAATTTTAAAACATTTCATTGTTTAATGTGAAGACAAAATAATGACAAAGTAGTTGGTAATTCATAATTAAATGCCAAATGAGTGTTGTAGATGGTAAGCTCAGAGGAGACATAGGAAGAAAACATGGTACTAGAGGGAGGATTTGAAGTAAAGTCCCATGATGATCAAAATTTGGAAAGGTAAAGAGGCAGGGAAACTGCTGTAAGACACACAGCAAGGAAGTTGGTCTCTGTGGACAATGACCAGAAGCATTTGAGTAGAAAATAATGGTAGCAGAGAGGAAGTGAAAAGGTAGGTTGGCATTAGCTCATGGGGGTTAGTGACAGACCAAACACTGGCCCCCATGTGGGTCAGTGGTTCTCTACCTGGCTGTATACTACAATCATGTGGGGAGCATTTATAAAGTTAAAAAGCTGGATTCTAGTGTAAGAGCTTAGGATTCATTTAATATAGGATGGGATTCATTCCATTTTTTTTTTAACCCTAACCCTAAATCCCCAGTAGAAAAATTTAAATGCTTCTCAAGCAATTTCAATGTGCATTCGTGACTGAGAATCATTGATGTAGGCAAGAAAAGACTACGGAGCATCGGAGTAGAAGCGAAATGTGCTGTGTTAGGAACATCTTGTTGGGAGAGCCAGGAAGGGTGAGGAACTTCCTTGAGACCTGCAGAAGCATTAGCACCTCCTGTCTTTGCTTCAACTAATGACTCTATTTAGAAAAGGGAGTTCTTACCACTTCTTAGGCCCTGTGCCTAATCCTGAAAACCCATACTGTTGAGGAAGTATCAAACCCATTTTACAGATGTGAGTCCTGAGGCTCAGAACAGTTTAACAACTTTCCCAGAATATATCACGTGGAAGAAGCTGGAGTGAAACCCAGTCACTCCAAAGCCAGAGAGGGACAGAGTGGGACACCTTCTATTACACTATACAACTAGTCATCACCTTTTTTCTTTTCTTAGGTTTTTGCCATAGAGCATATGCACTCGCTATAGAGACAGACAGACAGAAACAGAGAGAGGGCAAGTGAGCAATCATCTCCCAGGGGATGGCCATACCATAGTCCCTTCTCCTCCAGTCTATTCTTGGGATTTTGGGGATGCCATACATGCACCCAGCATGTGTTTTAAGCTGCTGGATCCGGGACTTGAACTACCTTTAGCCATGTGGGACTCCAGCACCTTAACTACTGCATCATCTGCTGGACCCATCACTGTATTTTAGCAATTTGATATATACACAATGCTGACACAGGGCAACTCTCATATGACCAAGGGGTGCTAGAGAGGATAAAGTTCTGGCCCCACTTCTACCGGGGTTACTATTATATACTATTAACACAGGAAATGGGAATGATCACTTGAGTCATTTTTTTAGTCAAATAATAAATTATAGAAGTCTGGTTCAAGTTCTCCACTGAAATAGTTGAGTTTTCTCCAGAGTTGCAAGTGTCTAAAGAGAAGTTGTTCTTTTCTTATTTTTCCATTTTATATATTCATATGTGATCATCAGAAACAGTTTTTTTGATGTAGACATTTTAATTTTAGTGAAGTTGTCCTTGTTTGCATCGTGTATCCTCCTGAATTGCTTTATGATGAGCAAATAGCTCAGTTCACTGGGAGTATAAATACAGTATTGACACCATGCAAAAATATGTTGCATAAATTTACTGATACTATAACTGATATCTAGATTAGTGCTAAAGATGTGTATTCAAAGTATTAAGAGGGATACTGATTTCATTGCAGAGGCAGCTTTGATGAACCCACCTCTAAATTCTGTGTTGCTTGTGTGACAGAAGCATTTGATTACCTGCATCGACTAGGTATTATCTACAGAGACTTGAAGCCAGAAAACTTAATTCTAGATGCTGAAGGTTATCTTAAATTGGTAAGATAAGTTCTCTCATAGTATCATATGTGATATTTCCAAAAACAAAGCTTGTGTTGTAGCTGCAATTTTCTTTAAAATTTGGGTACAACTGTTATTTTTACTTGTGGGGGAGGGTATAGCCAACTTACTTGAAATTGACATACTTTCTACAGGAAGCAATGCTATAAACACCTTCTTTTTTGGCCTAAGAATTAAAAGTTTCAACTATAGTTATGATTTCTACTGAAGATTCATCTAATAGAATGCCTTTAAAATTGGATTTTTTTTTTTTTTTTGCCAGAAGGTGCATGACCTTGCCAGAGAGAGAGAGAGAGAGACAGAGAAAAAGCACTCCCCAGTAGAGCATGGTCATACTACATTCCATCTTTTTGGGATTTTGGACACATACTCATGTTCCCTGAATGTTTTCCAAGCTTCTGGGCCAGGATTTAAACTGTATTGTTGGTCATCTAGGATCTGTCTCCCTTAACCACTAGGTCATGGGACAGGACACTTTAAAGTTAGATTTTTTTAAAATAAAGAATTATTTAATTTTATTCATTCACTTATTTTCATTTGAGCAGTTAGATTTTGATAGTATTTTTGTTTAACAATGTTAAGTAAGTTTTGATAGTATTTTTATTTAATAATTTTAAGTAGGTTTTTATAGATTCTTGCTACATATAGGGAATGGCTATAAAAAATGAAATAAGATATTGGGTTGTCAGAAAAGTCATGACATATTTTTCTTTCTGTTTTTCTATTAAAAAATGTGCCCCGACTTTTCCAGCAGCCTAATAGTATGACTTCTGCTCCAAGATATCCAGTCTATACAGGGAGAGGAGATAAGCATAGTAACCTTGGTGGGATTTTTTGAAACCTTTCTAGGTGATCCTAATGTGCAGTCAGGGTTAGAAAACATAATACTGGGCTACAGGCTCCTTTAGGGCAGAGATTTTCCTTATTATCCATCTTTGTGATCTACTAAGGCTTAACATGAACTCCTTTGTATATCAACTAAAGAAAAAGGGCATCCAGCACATGAACTGCTTAAAGTGAGTAACTATAGTAAAACTGGACAGTCATAACTAAGAAGAAACCTAGGTAGTTCAGACATGAGGAAGGAACCCAGCAGAATGGGGAAGCCAGGCTGTTTTCATAAGTCCATTTGATAGTATCCCAAGAACGTTAAACCATCTCCGAACTTGATACTTAAAAAATAGAACAGTTGTCATTTAATGAGCAATTACTGTGTATAAAGTACTATTCTAAACCTTTTACAATTAATCTGTTTAACAATTTATAAGATAGATTTTTATCATCCATATGTTATAGTTCTATAATTTAACCTTAGGAATTAAATGTATTATATATCATTACTGAATGATTTCTCTCTGTGGTGAAGGAGTAAAGTAAAAGTCCTTTTATGTAAAAATCTGGCTAACTTTCCAGAAACATTTTGATCTATTCAAGCTTTATTTTATCCATGTAAGGTAGCTTTGAGAATTGATGAAGTATTAACACAAGACTTCAATTACCCTCTTTCTTCACAGTTGAGTATGCCTCCTACAACTCTAGGGAAACCCTTTAGAGTATTCTAGAAGTAACATCATCATGATGGATAGAGGCTATCCATTACATTCATCCCTTCTCATGGTTGCTTTTAAAAGTCAGATAATAGCATATGTTGTATGTATAAGCACAGGGGTCAGTAAGTAACTCTTCTATTAACCATTGTTATCCATCCTACTAATTCACTTGCTGACCAGCTAATAGAAGAATAAGAATGAATGTCTCTAGAAATTGAAAAGTAAATGTTAAATATGTTCATATAATAGCTAGATATCTGAAATTCTCTCATTATAAAATGTCTAAAAATAATGAATGAAACATGAAAAGCACCAATGAATGCAGAGGCATAGCTGAGTTTATAAGAATGGTAATTCCTCTGGGGCTGGGAACCAAACTTGAGCAGAAGTATATGTTGGAAATAAAACATAGAAGCTGCCATCTGTAGGCACCTAGAAATCTTTAGTGGCCTAGAGGTTTGATATTTAGTAGTAGCTGCAGCCTCTAGGAACCAAAGACCAAGCTTTGGACCTAGACAGTGTGAGAAGTTGAATCATGGAATGTTGCATAGAGCCAGAAATCACACAGATTAAACTCTCAGAGAAATAGAAAAAATATATTAAATTCATAAATACATTGTAAATGCATTAAAACATGCTTTCCTTATTTATTATTGGGTCTTAGAGAGGAACAAAAAAAGTGTCCCCTAAGTATTCTTGGCCACAGGCTGGTCTTAACAGAGGCTGGGTGCCCAGTTTTCAAGGTTAGAAAATCCAAGCAGGAATTTACATGAAAATGAACCCACATTGAGAGTTTGTCTAAGTTGCCAAGAATCAATGTATATTCTCTCTGGAAGAATGCACTATCAACTCAGAATGATGCCTAAAGATAAAGTTCCAGGAAACATGAGATCATATTTAAAAAATAAATTAAATGTATGTATGAGAAAAAAAACTGTCATGAAGATTAGTTTCCAGAAATAAAAAGGGCAGAAGCAGACACATTAGTGTTTTATATATTGGAGTAAGTGGTTACAGAATTTAAATAAATACATCTGATGTGTTTTGAAACTAAGAGAAAGATAAGAAATGTGTAAAGAATGAGACTTTCTAGGGACCAGCAGTTAGCGTAATGGCTATGTCACTGGACTCCCACGTAGTCAACCACGGTTCACGTCCTGCTCCCGGTGGCTTAAAACTCACGCAGGGCGCGTGTGCGTGCGTGCCCAAGATCCCAAGAGGAGAATGGAGGAGAAGGGATTGCGGCGTGACCATCCCCCCGGGGGGGTGATTTCTCGATTTCTGTTTCTCTGTCTCTCTCTGTCTGTCTGGTGAGCGCACGCGCCCTATAGCAAAAATGTCTCAAAAAATACATAAATAAAAGAGAGAGAGAGAGAGAACATATGGTTAGACTTAAACCTTGATTCTGCCATTCACTGGCTGTGTGCCCATTTGCTACTTTATTTCTCTATAACTCAGTCTTCTCTTTTGTGAAATAGAGAAAAATCATAGTATCTACCCCAAATAGTTGCATAAAAATGAAAAGAATAAGTATTTTTGTAAAAAAGAAAAATGTCATGGACAGCATAAATAGATGATTCATAGGTAGAGAAAAAAATTAGTGAACTGAAAGATAAACTTAAATAATTTAAATAGAATACTTGATAATAACATAAGATAAAAAGGTATTAAAAGATAAAAGCCCTATAGCAAAAATGTCTCAAAATAAATAAATAAATAAAAGAGAGAGAGAGAGAGAACATATGGTTAGACTTAAACCTTGATTCTGCCATTCACTGGCTGTGTGCCCATTTGCTACTTTATTTCTCTATAACTCAGTCTTCTCTTTTGTGAAATAGAGAAAAATCATAGTATCTACCCCAAATAGTTGCATAAAAATGAAAAGAATAAGTATTTTTGTAAAAAAGAAAAATGTCATGGACAGCATAAATAGATGATTCATAGGTAGAGAAAAAAATTAGTGAACTGAAAGATAAACTTAAATAATTTAAATAGAATACTTGATAATAACATAAGATAAAAAGGTATTAAAAGATAAAAGATAAGAAAGAGAAATAAAAGATTAAAAGATAAAACCTAAGAAAGAGAAATGAAGGCTACATGTAAGTTAGCGAAATAGATTATACAATAGTGTACCATAGTAAAGAACGTGATCTTTTTTTTTTAATTCAGAGAGAGAGAGATTTTGCTATAGGGTGTGTGCACTTGCTGGAGAGAAAGAGAGAGATGGAAAGAGAGCAAGCGAGACATCACCCCCTGGGGGAATGGCCACACTGCAATGACTTCTCCTCCATTCTCCTCTGGGGATTTTAGGCATGCATGCACATGCCCCCAGCATGAATTTCGAGCCACTGGGTCCAGAACTTAAACCGTGGTAGGCCATGTGAGAGTCCAGTGCCTTAACCACTACACCACCTGCTAGCTACACATTATGTAATCTTAAATGATGAAGATGGTGAATGCTTATATCTTCAATCTAATTACACACTGGATACATGCTTTAAAAATCTTGCTATACTCCACAAAGATATACAACAATTACATGTAAATCAGAAATTGTGGTATTTTCAAAAAGAGAGAGAAATGAAGAGACTTAGAAAAGAAAGCGAAAAATTCTTAAAGAAAAGAAAGTGAGAAAATTTTGACATTCTCAATTGGAATCTCCAACAAAAAATACAGAAAATGAGAGAAAAGCAACATTTAAAAAAATAATGACTGGGAATTTTCCAGAATTTATAAAATATGCCAATTATCAAGTGAAGAGATCCCTACAAATAGATTAATTATATTTGTCTTATATTTGTAAAAACTTATATAGTTTTTTTGTTTGTTTTGTTTTCTTTTATTTTAGGGTTTTTTGTTTGTTTGTTTGCCATAGGGCACCTACGTTTGCCAGGGAGATGGAAAGAGGAAAAGTGAGAAATCACCCTCAGGGGGAATGGTCATGCTACAATACCTTCTCTTCCATTCTCCTCTCAGGATTTTGGGCATCCATGCACATGCACCTGATGTGTTTCAAATGGATGGGTCCAGAGCTCACACTAGAGTCCCCCATGTAGGAATCTAGCACCTTAACCACCATGCTACTTTCTGGACCCCCTAGCTCCTATTTTGATATAATGAATCACTTCAAAACTTAATGAATTAAAAGTGCAATTATCATTTATGACCTCATGAATATATATATATATATATTGGAGAGGTTTTTGCTATAGGGCACTTGTGCTCACCAGACAGAGAGAGACAGAGAGACAGAAAGTGAGAAATCAACCCCCGGGGGCATGACCACGCCACAATCCCTTCTCCTCCATTCTCCTCTTGGGATCTTGGGCATGCATGCACACATGCCCAGCGTGAGTTTAAGCCACCGGGTCCAGGACGCGAACCATGGTCGACTACGTGGGAGTCCAGCAACATAGCCATTACGCT